GAGCCACTTTGAAGCGTCCCAGCTGAAGGAGGATGCGACCGCCTATGAAAGGTGAAGACACCTTAAATAAAAGGTGTGTGGGCCATGAAAAGAGCCCAAGTACAAACCATCGCATGACAACGAGCGGAGACACCTCAGGAGAAGGTGTAAGGGCCGTGATAGGAGCCCTAGTTCAGAACGCCCTAGAGCCGATGTGATGGCTAGATATGAGTGGACAGATGGATAGCCAGTGAAATGGCTATAATGAGTATGGAGACAAATGCCGGATTGACTTTCATAGATATTGACCCTATGCTAAAGATCAATGAGTTAGAAAACATTTGTCTTGGACAATAAGTGGATGACTTGTGAAGCATTAAGACGCGGCTGCTATGAACAAGCAGAGGGCATGCGCAGGTTCTGGAACAAGTTGACTCTTGTCAAGGTGGTGAGCTCGGTAATGGCATTGTAATACTTAGAATATGAAGACAAATATAGATCAACCTTTTATGGGCCGCCCCCATGGTTAAAGGTGGAAAGCTACCTAGACTCTTGAGACTAAGAGTGGGAGACTCATGGAGAAGTAAGGCGTGGTTCTTAGGGTGGAACAGAGGGCAGGCATAACTCCTGGATGAGTAGACTCTTGGAAGAGTGGTGAGCTTGTGATCATATTGAGATACTCAGATAATGACTGTCGCACTTGGAATATTTGTTGGAGGGGGTGTTGTAAGCTTTGATGAATCATTCCAGGTTGAGCATGGTTGATACGCTCGAAGGGGAATGTTGTTCCAGAGACAAGCGTTAACACTATTCAGATATAATGTGGCAGACCATCTGATTGTAGTGATCCTTTTATGTGAGAAAATGTGTGCTTTGGTTACTCTGATGACTGAAAGGTTTGACGAGTACCTGTAAACTTGGCCACGAACGCTCTCAAAATGGTAAGTTTGGAAGAGCTGCAAGATGCAAGCGTGTGTTGAAGAAGCAAGCGGACAGTTGCCCCACATGAATGGTAAAGAGGGTGATTGTTAGGTTTGTTGCCATTTCATGTGCAGTAAATGGACGACACCAACCATTGACTATTGGCAACCACCATTATTGAATGAGCTAGAGTTGGTGGCCATCAATGTTGACAACAAAGCAAGAAGAGCTGTCATGGATGCCTATAAAAGAGGCACATGTGAGAGAGCAAAATGTGAGATGAAATGGTGAGTGTATGTAAGAGAAGAAAAGAGAAAGAGAGGCTGCCAAAGGGCAGCAGTCCTACTGCTATTAGAAAAGAGAAAGAGAGGCTGCCAAAGGGTAGCAGTCCTACTGCTATTGCAGCAATGTGTGTGAGTTGAGAGTTGAGTATGAGTGGGTGTAATCCTCCTCCTTCATGTATTTGTTTTGTAGCCTTTCTCTATCTCTAATTATATTGACTCTCCCGTGGATGTAGGTGATTTATCGAACCACGTTAAATATTGTGTCAGTGTGTTTGGCCTCCTATAAGCAAATATCAGAACATCACCGGTTAGAATTCCCTACACTCCTTTCCTCTCTCACTTCTTTGATTGGTAATCTGTTGGCTCTACCCTACCTCACTCCACTCATTTATGCCCGATTCATGGAGTTTCTTGCCAAATTCATAGTTAATAATACAAGGTTTTCGGAAATTTTTGAATGTCATTAGCCTTGATAGCAACTTTGTATTTTATGAAAGAATCTCAAAGCTCATATGAACTTGTTGATGGTTATGGAGTGTATTAGTGAAGGTGAGCCCTTTCTTATCAGAGGCACTTGAAAGCTGCTCGTAATCAATGTTTGAGGTAATCGGTTAAAGTTATATGCAAATAAAACGAAGATTTATTGAATCTTAATTGGTTTTGGTGAAAGATCTTTAAAGTGCACCATGAATTTCCATTAATCTAGGAAAAAGAAATAAGTTTTGGTCATAGTCAAGAGCCTGCCATTCACTGTCTAGCAAACAATTTGTGATTCTCTTATGCAATTATAAATTGTGTCATAACTTATTTTTGAATTTTTTAAATTATATTTTATTCTTTTTAAAAAATAAAAATATAGTTTCATTTTAAACAGCACTATACATATTCTTCTCCCCTACAAATGCAAGGACAAGGGAGAAGAAGGCTTTTATAATCCTTTTCCCATTTACCCTCTCTTTCTCTCTCTCTCCTAACTTGACTAAACCATGACACAAGCAACGACCCATACCCTGCCACTATTATGAAAGAAATAGAGGCACCATGCCTGTAAACAGGTGGCCACCTTATCCTGTAGAGGTAAGGTAACCCCACTCCCCCCTGAACCACGATGGGACAGAGCAGGGGGGAGCTCCCTCTCCTCCTATTTATAAATAGAAGGAGAGGAGAAGAAAAATAGAGGG